AGGCTTTCATTTGTTTGAGCGCTCTAATCCTGATGGAAGTGGAAGCTTTATTAGCTCATGAATATTTGCAGCATGCCCGTCTAAAATAATTAAAATAAAAACGCCCTTCAGACAACCTGGCTTATCACGTGCAGTAAACGCTTCGAGAGTGAGGACAGTCTGAGCCCCGAGGACTTTATGGATGGTGTGACCTTGAAACATTTTTCTAATTTTAACTCTTATTTGTTTGGTTTCAAACAAGGGCTGGGCACACCTTAAAGTGTCCAGCATTAATGACGTTTCTGCCTGTAACTCAGTAAAGAGCATGACAAAAAGAGGGAGCAGGAATACCAGACAGTCGTTAAATGCCTGCCTGCACAAAATCTGCAGTAACATTTACAAGCAAAGCTCTCGCACAACATAAACCAAACAAAGCTGTGCAGAACATGAAGCAGGAACACCATAACAGGTGCAGTCGGTCCCTCCGTCAAATCGTACCCACCAGGTAATATTTTGTAACAGTTGGGTACGAAGTAGTTATCTTACCCATGTTGTCCTGCATTTATTTCATACAGTACTTTTATGCTGGTATGCCCAGCTGCTTCACATTCACATTCTGTTGTGTTCCATGCTGAAGGTCATGGCCCGAAGACACAAACAGAAAATAAAACACATTAAGATGTCTTAAATTCCTTCCAGAACATTCTCCAAATTTTGCTTAAATGTATTTGCTTGATTTTTGTCATCTTAAAGATTTAGCTTCACCCAACTGTTTTTGCTATGTTAGCTTCACGCAACAGGTTTTGGCTACGTTAGCTTCACGCAACAGGTTTTGGCTACGTTACCTTCACGCAACAGGTTTTGCTACGTTAGCTTCACGCAACAGGTTTTGCTACGTTAGCTTCACGCAACAGGTTTTGGCTACGTTAGCTTCACGCAACAGTTTTTGGCTACGTTAGCTTCACGCAACAGTTTTTGGCTACGTTAGCTTCACGCAACAGTTTTTGGCTACGTTAGCTTCACGCAACAGTTTTTGCTACGCTAGTGTCACGCAACAGGTTTTGCTACGTTAGCTTTACGTACCCGCTTTGTCCTTTCCGGGTCACTGGTGCAACTGGTGCCCATATCCAGCCAGCCATCACTGTGCTAGAGGCGGGTACAGTTTAGCTAATTTGTTCTTGTTGTTCAACACATTTACACTGCATTTTGTTTTATTTTTGGCTAAATTTAGTCTATTTCTTAGACGAAGATGAAGTTTACATCCTGACTTTGTCAAAACTTTTGTTTTATTTTGAGTTTTAATACTAAAAATTGAAGCGTTCTGTTCAGTCCATGTGCAGTGCATATGGGACGTTTATTTTGCCGTTAAAAATAAAACAAAAAGACCCTCATCACTATTGGCTCTTTATGTCAAGTAGGTATCTCTGCAGCCAAATTCGGAAGGCGTATCTGGGCGGTCATATCTGATTGGACTATAGGAAAATGGGCGTATCTGGGCGATCATATCTGATTGGACTATATGAAAATAGGCGTGTCTGGCCGGCCGCACCTGATTGGACGATAGAAAAATGGGCGTGTCTGGCCGGCCATATTTGATTGGACGATAGAAAAATAGGCGTGTCTGGCCGGCCACATCTGATTGGACGATAGAAAAAAAGGCTGAACGATAAAATGCCGTAACCACAGACACATTATGTCTAAAAACAAGGCGTTATTGGCAGATTGTGTTAACCACAGGCATATTATGTCTATGGTGTTAACCGGTTCGACATTAGCGGCGTCTCAGATTCAACACTGGCGGCGTCTCGGTTCTACATTGCTCCAGTATACTGCCGCGGCGTTTCCATAACTTCTTTTTTTGACTCTCTTAACACAGAACTTCCGGTTACATTTCAAAATAAGAGCAACATAACTGGGTAATGGGGGAGCTAAATGTTAGTTTTTTTTTAAATACCTAGCCATAACATTAAAAAACAAATTCCATTTTGGTTGTTGAAAAATGTGAACAAAGTTACAATCGATTCATAAAGAAAGGAAAAATATTAACGATACTTAAACTGGCCTTGGGACAAAGGATGTTTCCTTTAACTTCACATTTTCTTGTTCAACTTGCAGTCACTACAGATGAGTGATTGTCAGTTTCTGTAAGATTTCTGCAACTGGAGCAGGTATTTCTGTTTACTGGTTAACTTCCTCAGCTGTCTCACATTTTAAAGGTCAACCCTACTCCATGTTTCAGTAGAAAACAAGCACATTTAGGAGTCAGTACATAACCAGACTTTTGGCCCTCACACCTATACCCAGTTGCTTATGCTGCATGATGAGATCAGATTTATCCATATTTTAGAAATTACATTTAGCTTAGTCGACAAAACAATACAAATGAAGACCGTCTTAAAAAAAACTCTTGGTTTTGCAGTACGCAGCCTGATTTCAAACTGACATCTTGGCCAAAGGTAAAATAAAAATCTTTTGTGTTCTCAGAAAAGTTGTTTCAGGACCTCCAATAAACTTATGTACACATCAAAGCACACAAGACATCCATCCATCCATCCATTATCTTTACCCGTTTATTCCATTTTGGGTCACGGGGGTCGCTGGTGCCCATGTCCAGCAATCACTGTGCGAGGGGTGGAGTACACCCTGGACGGGTCGCAAGTCCATCACAGGGCCACATAGAGACAAACGAGACAAACAACCATTCACTCTCTCACTCACACCTAGGGGTTATTTAGAGTTACCAATCAGCCTAACATGCATGTTTTTGGTCTGTGGGAGGAAACCGGAGTACCCGGAGAAAACCCACGCATGCACGGAGAGAACATGCAAACTCCACCCAGAAAGGCCCCTGGACCCGGGTTTGAACCAAGGACCTGCTCGCTGAGAGGCAGCAGCTCTACCAGTTGCGCCACCGTGCTGCCCGCACACAAGACAGATTCAGGAATTCTCTTTGTTTTCCAGATTTCACATTTGTTATTACCTTAAAACATACTCAGACAACATTTGATGCATCATTGAATTTTTTTATGTGTTTATTGGGACATCCATTTTTAGAAGTCATCGTAGCATTTGTTGGAAACACAGAACATAGTACAGTTAGGGTGTTGCTAGTTGTTACTTAATCCTGGATTGGATTTTAAAGTTAATTTTGATATTTTTTTCACAAGGAAAAAAAAAAGTTGATTTCCTAAAGTTTAACTATAAATGAAGGAATTTGTACATTCAGGTAATTTAAAATTAAGTAATTTCTCTAACATCCAACCCATTTTAGCCACTGAGCCATACCAAACACCCATAATCTATTCTTGAATGAATTATTGACTATTATTGACAAATTACAGACGTTTTATTGAATAAGTTATTACTCATTATTGAATCATTAACAATTTACACTCATGTTTGTGTTAACTCACAAACAAGGTCAGCAACTTTTGACTATTACTATGAACTATGTTAAACTTTGGAGGCGATTTATTTTGAAAGTCAACATCTTGGGGTCTTCTAGAGTCAGTCTGAAGTGAGAGAGGTCCCTGACATGGCAGAAAGACATAGATATAATTAACAGCTTTTATTTATTTATTTTTCAGCTAATAACAACTTTTATTTATTTGTTTTTCATATTTTTCAGTTATACTCAGCTTTTAGATATTTATTTTTCAAGTATTAAGAACTTTTATTTTCAGCTTTTATTTTGAAAAGCAACACCCAGTTGTTGTAAACGTGCACAGTGAGAGCTGCTGTGGAGGCTCACTTTACCTCAGTGCGTTACGACAACAACGAGAGAACGGTCGAAACTATCGTGACCTACAATAAACGTATTTCAATAAAATGCATAAGTGAAAACATAACATGCTTTATAAGTACAATAAACCATATTTCTTTGTCAAACATCGCAAAGAAACGTTACCTCATCAATAATCCTCGTGACTTTAAGGGTTACCCACAGCCAATCAGTGTTCGCCGCCGACAAACGCCTATTAAATACTGTTAGCCAATCAGTGTTCGCCGCCCATAAACGCCTATTCGCCAGAAACGCCCACTTTTGGTCTGCAGAGAACCCCCTCTCCTTTATGTTGGACTCTAATGCTTGTTGCCCTTCGCCTTGATTGTCACAGAAGTCTGTTTTTTCTTTCGGGGGAAGTAGTTTGCAGAAAACTGAAACCTTAATTTTTTTTTTTTTCAGCTGCTCCGTTCTTCAGGGGTCGTCACAGCGAACTAAGTCACACAAATACTTGGCAATTGTTTTTACGCCGGATGTCCTTCCTGACGCAGACCACCGAGCTACCACAGCCCTCTGTGTGGAGCAGAGGGCTGCTATCTAGGGTGCCCGAGGGGAGCAGATAGGGGGTTAAGGGCCTTGTTCAAGGGCCCAGAGTGGGGTAAATGAGGGTGGAGGCAAGTCCAAGTTCCAACCCACATATTTGATGTTGTCTGTACCGGGAGTTGAACTGGCGATCTTCCAATCACAGGCCCACCTTTTCTAACCTCTTCACCACCACTCCCTCCAGAAAACTAAAACCTTAATATTGTGTAAATTTGTCAGTAAATATCAGGACTTTTTTTTTTAATTGGCAAATTAATAAAACATTCTGAAAATCTGCAGTTTTAAAATAAAATCTTGTAAGCCAGCTGCCAGTTGGATGTAAATTGTAACGCAAATATTTTTTTTACAATTGGTCCAGAAAGGGTTTCAACTTAATGTTGTTGTTTTTTCTTAGTTTTATGGCAAGTTTGCCGCCTGTTGTCTTCAGTAACCTTCCAGCTCATGCACACTTTCTGACATGAACAACCAGAGAGGAGTTCTGACACCTTGGACAGGGACGGGGTGCTGATGTGCTAATGGCGGTCTGCGTCCTCAATGATTTACCGTACGGTTATTTGTTACATTATCACCAGCAGGTTGTCGTGTGAGGCGAGGAACACTGTGACACAGATGTTCGGAGACTGCAGCTGTGTGTTCAGTAAAGTTGAGCGAAATGGATCCTGATGTTGTCTCTTGTCTCTGTCCTCGTTTCTCTCAGGGAGCAGCCGATCTACACCACCAGGGCCCACGTCTTCCAGATTGACCCGGCCACCAAGAAACACTGGCTTCCTGCCAGCAAGCAGGCCGTCACCGTCTCCTATTTTTACGACAGCTCACGGAACAGCTATCGCATTATCAGCGTGGATGGATCCAAGGTTTGTCTGCCTGTGTCTCTAAAAAGAAAAAGGCTAGCTAAAAGGTGAAATTGGTAAGCTGAAAGTAGCAAAAAGCTAGCTA